CGTCCCGGGTCACGAAACATCAAACCCGATGCGCTCTCCCGTCTGTATTCCCCCGACAGCGAGGCGCCCCCCCCCGCCACCATCCTGCCTGCCTCCTGCGTGGTGGGTGCTCTCACCTGGGAGATTGAGGAGACCATTCGTCAAGCGCTCCCAGGGGACCCTGACCCAGGGACCGGACCGCCGGGACGGCGCTTCGTTCCCGCCGCCGCCCGGGGAGCGGTCATCCACTGGATCCACACAGCACGATTCGCGTGCCACCCGGGCGTGAGCAGAACGGCGCGCCTCCTCAGCAGACACTTCTGGTGGAAATCGCTACTACGGGACGTGAAGGACTACGTGTCTGCCTGTGCCGTCTGCGCTCGTAATAAACCATCCACGAAACATCCCATGGGCCAGCTCCACCCACTCACTACTCCCCACCGGCCCTGGTCTCACATCTCGCTCGACTTTGTTACCGGTCTCCCCACCTCTTCTGGAAAATGTGTCATCCTCACCGTTGTGGATCGGTTTTCTAAGGCCGCCCACTTCGTCCCGCTAGCCAAGCTGCCCTCGGCTGCTGAGACTGCCCAAGCGTTAGTCACGGAAGTCTTCAGGCTCCACGGAATTCCCCTGGACATTGTCTCCGATCGCGGTCCCCAGTTCACCTCACAAGTGTGGAGGACCTTCTGCTCCATTCTCGGCGCCAAGGTCAGTTTGAGTTCCGGTTTCCACCCGCAATCCAATGGGCAAACTGAACGCCTTAATCAGGAGCTGGAGACTATGCTGAGATGCGTAGCCAGTCAAAACCCCTCCTCCTGGGTTACTTACCTGCCCTGGGTGGAGTACGCCCACAATACTCACACCTCGTCCTCCACCGGCTTCTCTCCTTTCGAAGCGTCCCTCGGGTATCAGCCTCCGCTCTTCCCGGAAGAGGACCTGTCCCTCTCCGTCCCGTCGGCCCCTCATCACCTCCGGCGCTGCCAACGTGTGTGGCGCTGCGCTCGCCGCGCCCTCCTGCGCGCAAAGGAACGACAGGCGCACTACGCCGATCGGCGCCGCACCCCAGCCCCTGACTACCAGCCGGGACAGAAGGTTTGGTTGGCTGCTGGGAACATCCCGCTCCGGGGCACGTCCCGCAAACTGGCTCCCCGTTTCATCGGGCCGTACGAAGTGGACCGAGTCATCAACCCGGTGGCAGTCAGGCTCCGGCTTCCGGCCTCTCGGCGTGTGCATCCCACGTTCCATGTATCTCAACTTAAGCCGGTCCGCCTCAGCCCCCTGTGCCCTCCTTCCGAGCCCCCTCCTCCCGCCCGGCTCGTCGGCGGCCATCCGGCCTATGCGGTCCGGCGGATCCTGGATGCGCGCCGGCGCGGGCGCGGCTGGCAGTATCTTGTGGATTGGGAGGGATACGGCCCCGAGGACCGCCTCTGGGTCCCGCGCTCCTTCATTCTGGACCCTCGTCTCATCTCTGCTTTCCGTGCTTCTCTCCGCAGGCGGGGTCCCGGCCGGCCGCCTGGGGGCGACCCTTGAGGGGGGGTACTGTCATGGTCCGCGGCCCGGCGTCCGGGGTGCTGCTGGGATGTCCACGCCCACGAGCGTGGCTGCTAACCCCACACCTGCATCCCATCCCAGGCGATCACCAGGTGGACTATTTAATCCTGCCCTACCTGCTGCTCCACGCCAGTCCGTAGTCGCCTCTCAGCGGTAACGTACGCCTGCGGAAAAGAACTCGTATGACAAACTCTCCATCGGACCTAACACTGTTTTTCTTTCCCTGTGTACCCAGATCACAACTCGGCGTGTTTTTTGAGCCACCTGCCTGTCCACCTGTCCGCCTGAGATTCGGTTCACATTCAGCTTCGCCGTCTCGACCCCTTTTGGAGCTCCACCCCCCTCTGGTTCTCTCGGCCCGGCTATCACCGTGAGACGCACACTCCACCTTCCCTCGTATGCTGCCTTTTTTCCGCACCCCAGTAATCTGTCTCTCTTTTTGTTTTACAGCCTCTCACAGCCCCGCTCTCGGCGTTCCCTGTGCGGTCCCTCGGTTTCATCTGGTTTCACCCGTTGTTTTTCTGGCTACCCTCACGGGACACCTTTAGTTTCAATAAAAAATTACTTTCTTTATTCGCTCATTCCCTAGTGTGTGTGTTCTGCTACTGGGTCCTGCCTGCGCTCGGAACTTCGGTTCATGACACTTACATTAGTATGCCTTATTGATTTGTTCATGTCACATCTGCAGGAAACAAACAGGAAGTGAGTGAAGGACAGAGAAATGTTTCCAGCTCTTCCTCCTCTATCAGACATCCTCTCCATACCTGAGAGTGTCCAGTCTCCAGCATGGATCCCTCAGTCCAGCCGACAGCAGCTTCATTCCTAAGCGGCCTGGATGATTGTAGCTCAGGTCCAGCTCTCTCAGATGGGAGGGGTTGGAGCTCAGAGCTAAGGCCAGAGAAGTACAGCCTTCCTTTGTGATCAGACAGCCTGACAGACTACAGACACACAAAACAACAATCCATCTGTCAACAATAATTTTCTGTTTGTCATATACAAAAACATCTATCCATTTACATGCATTAAATTTAACTTTATTTATAAGTGGAATTCCCAACAGACAACAGCTGTTTAACAGTGTAAGGTAACAGCCTACAATATTAGAGAGAAACCCCCAACTATCAGACTATATCCTCTGATCAGCATCACCGTTGGGTGACGGTGGGAAGGAAGAACTCCCATTGACACAAAGAGCATCCCAGTTAGAACAGGCTCCAGGAGGAGCATCTACCATGACTGGTTGCCAGGTGAGGGGAAAGAGAAGAGATGATCTCAGTGAGACAAGAACAAAACACAAACTAAGAAAAAAGAAGAAAAAGTTTAAGGACATGCAGTAGTGGCACATAAAAGCATCAGAAATGAAAAGAGAGGAGTGCAGAAGAAAGCAGAGTATCTTGGGAGGTCAACCAACAGCCTGAGCATATAGCAGCATAACTAAGAGATGATTCAGAGAGACAAAACCTCCACCTTTGGACAATTTAGAATGAGTATTCTATGAGTATTCTAACCCCTCCAAGTGCATGCCGACTGGATCTGACCCAACAAAAACACTTTTAGCCATTACTCTTTGTGCTAAGAGAGGAAATAGAATGGAAATTAGCCATGTGACATGATGTAAAGAGCATGGTTGGTTGACAGCTACAGAGCTGCTGTTTGAATGTCTTGCCTTCCAGCGCTGAGGAGACCTTTAACAGAATTATTTGCGCTGTACATCTAGCCTTGGCATGTTGTCATGTATTGGAGTAATACAGAAGGCAGAGTGACTGAACCTCTAATTAATCTGATGTAATAAAGTGCAGAATAAAACTAAAGAAAGGACTATGTCTTTTAAAATGTCCATTTGGCCCCATCAGGCCTTAACTTAACAAAAAAGTTATCAATAGTTCTTTTCATCTTTTCTTATTACCCACAGCTACATCCACTTCTGCCAGGCCTAGGCTACTCACTAGGGCTGGGTATCATCACTGATTTCCACAATCCATTCGATTCGATTCAATTTTGCCTCAGACAGTCAGAAATAATATCATTCTGATCATTTATCAGTACTGACACTTGTGAGACTTTATAGGAGGTGTGAGCATCACAGCAGATGCCTTTGTGTCAAAGAAACTGAGGATAAAACACAGAACATGAAGATTTTCCTGACTTGGCTCTTTATAGCAGATAACCTTAAAAATATTCTGCAATTTAACGTAATTTTAAAAAAGTTTACATTTTGTCAGTATATTTTTGTCCGAGGTCACTTAAGTAAGAAAAAAAAAAAGAAAAAGGAAAGAAAGAAAGTCACCGACAGCGCTGTAAACAACGGTAGACTGATGGGTAATAAGCGAATGAATAATGCAAAAATTAAGATCTGAGATGAGAAACTGTTCGTGAAATACATAGAGACAGAGAGCTGTGCATGAAGTGTTATTTTCTTGTGGTGGAAGCAAAACAGCAAAATTAAGAGTAGTTTAATGACGATATTTATCAAATGTGAAGTGTAGTTTCGATCTTCTTTTCTTGCTGGATGTAAACACAAAGCTCAGACCCGACGCCTTAGAATCAGTAAGCTGTCGGCTTTCAGCTTCGTCGGCTTGTCCAGCACGGGAAGTCGTGTGAGAAAGACGAGAAAGAGAAACCTGATTCTGAGGTGACGTGTCCACTCTGTGTTTACGTCTTAGTGTGGAATCCGTTTATCTGTTCTTATTTGCTGTTTGGTGGTTGTTGAAAAGTTTTTGAGCCTCATCTCTTTATTCAAGCTACTCACCTCTCTCTATCCACCTGCACTTCAACTAGACCACATCCAATCAGAGAGGTCCCGCCCCTGATTAACTGTAATTGGTTTAGACCACGATAGGAATATAATGTGTGTCGTTGACCACACAGAGACTTTCAGAGTTGAAGAATTTTCTTTTTTCTTTTTTTACTCAAACAGTTGGTCGCAACGGTGCGTCCTAGGAGTATTTTAGTCGGACCATTAACAAATTTGGTTGCATTTGTTAATGGTCCCATTTCCGCTGCTTGTATCCGCGATCTCGTTCTTTCGGTCACTACCCACAGCTCGGTACCATAGGCGACGGTAGGGACATAGATCGACTGGTAAATTGAGAGCTTCGCTTTTACATTCAGCTCACTCTTCACTATAACAGACCGGTACAGCCACTGCACCAATCCGTCTGTCGAGCTCCTGCTGCCTTCTACCCCCACTCGTGAAGAAGGCCCCGAGATACTTAAACTCCTCCACCCCAAAAGAAACCTCAACATGTAATTTGGTCATGTTCGGCCTACCAGTATAAAAGGAAATTGGTATCTTTTGTACACAAAATGACTATATATAAGTTTATTAGTGCATGAAGTAATTTTTGGAATCCAAACAAACAAATAAAAACTGTCACACATTAAAAAAACCTCTTAACAATTCTTATATTTGTGCAACAATAATAAATCACATTTTAAATGATCATCTGTGGAAAGCTTTGATTCTTGACCTGAGAGTTTCAAGGTTACATTGTGGACTCTCCACTGCAACAGACAGAAGCTTGACTCCTGAATCCTGCAGGTTGGTGTTACACAGGTCCAGCTCTCTCAGAATAGAGGACTGGGAGGTGAGAATTGAGGAAAGAGTTTCACAGCTTGTCTCTGAGAGGTTACAAAGACTCATTCTGAAAATGAAAAAACAAAACAAAAACAAAACAAAAAAACAAACAAACACTGGTGTTAACTTATAATCAGTGTGGAGCTATTATCAAAATTTAATACCCTTTTTTCAATAATACTTCAGGAAACCATATTAACTGGCTTTTTAGTGACTTGCAAAAGTATTCGGCCCCTTTTCCACATTTTTTCACATTACAGCCACAAACATGAATCAATTTTATTGGAATTCCACACTACATGATTCCATTCTTTTCTTTTTTTTTTTTTTTTTTTTTTTTACAAATGTTAGATATTATTTTATGCCATGTTAGACCCCTAATTAAAGATTGTGAATTATTATGTAGTTTTAGTTTGCATTATTCTCCTGAATTAGAAGAAGCTGATAACTATTGCATTAGTTAAACTGATTGCATTACATTAAACTGCTGACTTATTGTGAATGAATGATATTGTTTATGATGCATTATACTGCTGAGTTATAAGAAATGCTGTTCGCAGAAAGTCATCGCCTTATTTGTCTGATTAGAAGAGAACATGCTGGAGTTTTCTGCCCCATCTCAGCAGGAGCAGATAAACAGGGAGCCAAGGTCGTAGCTTAGGCACTGTGTGAGAGAAAAGCATGTGAGTGTTTAGGCTTTTATGATTAGGTGGAGGCACCAGAGGCTATAAGAGTTTGATCAATGCTCCACCATTTTGAGATCTGAGGCTGTCTGCATCAGTGTCCATCTCCCACGCGTGTGATAATTAAAATCATCGTTTGACTTAACCCGGCCGGACCAGTGTTGTTATTGTGGTTTTTCCTCCTGTATCCATCCCCAATATTTGAACTCGTAACACAAATAAATAACTGCAAAGTGGGGTGTGCGTAATTATTCAGCCCCCTTTGGACTGAGTGCAGTCAGTTGCCCATAGACATTGCCTGATGAGTGCCAAAGACTAAATAGAGTGCACCTGTGTGTAATCTAATGTCAGTGCTAATGTAATCTAATATAAGTACAAATACAGCTGCTCTAAGATGGCCTCAGAAGTTGTTGTCTAAGAGAATATTGGGAGCAACAACACCATGAAGTGCAAAGTACACACCAGACAGGTCAGGGATAAAGTTATTGAGAAATTTAAAGCAGGCTTAGGCTACAAAAAGATTTCCCAAGCCTCTACTCAATTTTATTTATATAGAGCCAAATCACAACAAAAGTCACCTCAAGGCGAACATCCCATGGAGCACTGTTCAAGCAATCAATCAGAAATGGAAGGAGTATGGCACAACTGTAAACCCACCAAGACAAGGCTGTTCACCTAAACTCACAGGCCTAACAAGGAGAGCGCTGATCAGAACTGCAGCCAAGAGGCCCGTGGTGACTCTGTGAATCTATGGCAAGATTTGAAAACTTCTGTTCACAAACACTGCCCATCTAATCTGACTGAGCTGGAGCTGTTTTGCAAAGAAGAATGGGCCAGAATTTCAGTCTCTAGATGTGCAAGGCTGGTAGAGACAGACCCTAAAAGACTGGCAGCTGTAATTGGAGCAAAAGGTGGTTCTACAAAGTATTGACTCAGGGGGCTGAATAATTACACACACCCCACTTTTTAGTATTTTATTTGTAAAAAATGTTTGGAATCATGTATGATTTTCGTTCCACTTCTCACGTGTACACCTCTTTGTATTGGTCTTTCACATGTAATTCAAATAAAATTGATTCCTGTTTGTGGCTGTAATATGACAAAATGTCAATAAGTTCAAGGGGGCTGAATACTTTTGCAAGCTACTGTACATCAAGAAATGAATGAACTTTAATTGGTTAATTCTGAAAACCTCTTTATCTGACCTCAGAGTAGACAGCTTGCAGTTTAGATTCTTCAATCCAGCAGAAAACGTTTCACAGCTCATCTCTGAGAGGTTACAGAGACTCAGTCTGAAAAGGAAAACATGAACAATTAAACAACACTCATGTTAAACTGTAATAAGGGTGTAGTGAGGAGCTACTATGTTTAGCAATGTCTTTTAGAGAATCTCTAATGTCTGGGGTTAAACAGGTTAAAAATGCAACAGTTTTACTAAGACATATTACAATGTGATTAAAAATTTATGGGCTACAAGTTTTTAACTGTTTAATTTTATCAGTTGAAAACAAAGAAAAACAACAAAAACTGAGTATAACTGATCTGACCTGAGAGTATTCAGTTTACAATGTGGACTCTCTATTGCTGCAGACAGAAGCTTCACGCCTGAATGATTTAGGCTGTTGATACTCAGGTCCAGCTCTCTCAAACTAGAAGACTGGGAGCTGAGAACTGAGGACAGAGCTTGACAACTTTCTTCTGACAGTTTACAGACACTCAGCCTAAATAAAAGAACAAAAGATGACATTTGTGACATTTGTTCAACCTTGAAAAGAAAAATAAATATACTGGAGGGCACTACAAGACATGGTTAATTAAAAATCTCTAAATATAAGTGTTAAATGGAAGAAAACCCTTTAACTTTTCTTAATACAAGCATAACTACAACCCTTTATTGGAATGTAATTTAATGACAGGCTTGTAGATTTAGTAATAAAAGTATACCAGTATGTATTACAATACTTTTTGGTCACTTCCTAATTCTAATGTCTGTCATAACTGTTGGTCGATGCAACTCAACATTATCCGTACTTGTCACATACTGAACCTTTTTTTATAATATGCTTGTTTCAGGAAGCATTCCATCTTTATGAGCTCCATCTCCTCCACCCTCTGCTTATAAAATTTTGAATACAAACTTTAAGTCTCGTAGAAGAAATAATTTCTGGCCCCTGGATGCAAGTAAGATCTTCTGATTCCTGACTGTGAAATATAATAGCGGAGGTCTTCAAAAGTTGATTCTGTTCATCTGGACGTAGCATTTTCAGTGGGAGAAACATTTTGTCACTCATCCAAGTGACTTCTTCAGTCTCAGCTGACTGCAGGTTTCCCCAATCTTATAAACCGTACGTTTGCATAATGACTAAAACCAGGCCACTGAGGGAACAATGGGCTGGGAGGTCAGTTCCTTAATCTTAATTATGCAAATTCTCATGACCATTGATCAACAACCACTGACAAAACGCACCGATCAAAGACCACTGATCAATGGCCATGAGTATAGAGAGTCAGTATGGTTTACCAAAAATACATAAACAGGGTGCACCTTTAAGATCGATTGTCTGCATGATCAACTCACTCACCTATAACATCTCCCAAATTTCTGGCTTCGATCCTCAACCCGCTGGTGTGCAGCTCTGAACACCACATCACTTGACTTTAGGGCAGGGATAGCTCAGTAGGTAAAGTGGTCGCCCCATGATCGGAAGGTCGGCGGTTCGAATCCACTTAACGGCTACCCTGAGGTACCCCTGAGCAAGGTACCGTCCCTACACACTGCTCCCCGGGCGCCTGCTTAGTGGGCTGCCCACTGCTTCACTGAGTGAATGGGTCAAATGCAGAGAAAAACAAGTATATAAAGTATCCATTATTATTATTATTATTATTTACTTGCATCCCAATCACGGAAAAGTTGGAGGTAGTCTGTAAGAGATTACAGGATGACACCAACCTCAGCAACAGGATCACTCTCAGCTTCGTTCAAGTGTGTTTGCTTTTGGAGCTGTGTCTTCATTCCAACTACTTAACATACAAGGGTCAGTTCTACAGGCAGAAACATGGGTGTGCCATGGGCTCCCCAGTTTCACTCATCATGGCCAATTTGTACTTGGAAGAAGTGGAAAAGAGGGCTTTGCTATCCTACCCTGGAACACCACCAAGCCATTGATTCAGATATGTGGATGACACCTGGGTGAAAAATCAAATCTCAGGATTTTCCGCAATTCACGGATCACATTAATAATAATGGATTGGATTTATATAGCGCTTTTCAAGGCACCCAAAGCACTTTACAATGCCACTATTCATTCACACACTGGTGGAGGTAAGCTACAGTTGTAGCCACAGCTGCCCTGGGGCAGACTGACAGAAGTGAGGCTGCCATATCGCGCCATCGGCCCAACACCAGTAGGCGGTAGGGTAAAGTGTCTTGCCCAAGGACACAACGACCAGGACAGAGAGCCCGGGGATTGAAGCGGTGACCTTCCGGTTACAGATACGCTTCCCAACCCCCTGAGCCACAGGAGTGACCGTGGCTCAGGGTGGACTGACATATCAAATTCACCAGGGAGGATATGAAAAGCGGCAGGTTAGCCTTCTTAGACTGTGAGATTTCCATCAGTAATGGGGGACATCTAAAAGCTGACGTGTACCGTAAACCTACACATACGGATCAGTATTTAAGGTTTGACTCTCATCATCCACTGGAGCACAAACTGGGTGTCATTAGGACGCTACAACAAAGAGCGAACACCATCCCCACTAACACAGCGGAAACCTGCAGTAAGCTGAGACTGAAAAAGTCACTTGGATGAATGACGAAATGTTTCTCCCACTGAAAACGCTACGTCCAGATGAACAGAATAAACTTTTGGAGATTTAATTTTCTGGATGATCGAGAATCCATCAAGACATAATAGTAGAGGGCACAATTCTAACAACAGCGTAATTCTAGGTGTTTAATGTGAGTATCAGCGTACTTATAAGAATAATTGAATAAAACAGTGTTCATGTTAAAAGATGGATGTAAAGGCGATGAGCTGAAATGCTGACATAAGTGGAACGTCTTTGCTTTCTGAAATTGATCATTTATAATGTCATTTATAATACAATTTTAAAAAGATTTTGAATGCTGCAGAACCCATCACAGTTTTTGGATTTGTCAATTGCTACCCTGATTTTTTGTTAAGTAGAATCAACATTTCAAAACTAAAGCTATGATCACATATTTACTTACAGAGCTTGGTTGGAGGCTTTGACCACTGGCAGCAGCCTCAGAAGAGCCTCCTCTGAAGCAGAGTATTTCTTCAGGTCAAACACATCCAGATCTTCTTCTGATGACAGTAAGATGAAGACCAGAGCTGACCACTGAGCAGGAGACAGATAATTTGCGGAGAGAAGTCCTGTACTCATGCGCTGTTGGATCTCCTCCACTAGAGAACGATCAGTCAGTTCATTCAGACAGTGGAACAGACTGATGCTTTCCTCTGCAGACAGCTTCTCACTGAGCTTCTCCTTGATGTACTGGACTGTTTTCTTATTGGACTGTGAGTTACTTCCTGTCTGTGTCAGCAGGCCTCGTAGAAGAGTCTGACTGGTCTGCAGTGAAAGACCCAGGAGGAAGCGGAGAAACAAGTCCAGGTGTCCATTTGTACTCTCTAAAGCTTTGTTCACAGCATTCTGGTAGAAGTGTTTCTCTGAATATTCTTTCATTTCAGACTTCAGGGAGGTTGTTTGTTCATCTTCCAGCAGATTGAGTCCAGAGTTGATCAAAGTCAGGTGGACATGAAGAGCAGCCAGAAATTCCTGGATGCTCAAATGGATGAAGCAGAAAACCTTGTCCTGGTACAGTCCTCTCTCCTCTTTAAAAATCTGTGTGAACACTCCCGAACACACTGATGCTGCTCTGATATCGATGCCACACTCTGTCAGGTCTGATTCATAGAAGATCAGGTTTCCTTTCTGCAGTTGATCAAAGGCCAGTTTTCCCAGAGATTCAATCATCTTCCTGCTCTCTGGACTCCAGTGTGGATCTGTCTCGGCTCCTCCATCATACTTGACCTTCTTCACCTTGGCCTGAACCACCAGGAAGTGGATGTACATCTCAGTCAGGGTCTTGGGCAGCTCTCCTCCCTCTCTTGTTTCCAGCACATCCTCCAGAACTGTAGCAGTGATCCAGCAGAAGACTGGGATGTGGCACATGATGTGGAGGCTTCGTGATGTCTTGATGTGGGAGATGATCCTGCTGGCCTGCTCCTCATCTCTGAATCTCTTCCTGAAGTACTCCTCCTTCTGTGGGTCAATGAACCCTCTGATCTCTGTCACTCTGCCAACACACTGTGGATGGATCTGATTGGCTGCTGCAGGTCGTGTGGTTATCCAGAGGCGAGCAGAGGGAAGCAGTTTCCCCCTGATGAGGTTTATCAGCAGCGCATCCACTGAGGTGGACTTTCTAGGGTCAGTTAGGATTGTAGTTTTGTGGAAGTCCAGAGGAGGTCGACACTCATCCAGACCATCAAAGATGAACACAACCTGGAAGTCTTCAAAGCTGCAGATTCCTGCTTCTTTGGTTTCAGTAAAGAAGTGATGAACAAGTTCCACCAAGCTGAACTTTTCCTCTTTCAGCACATTCAGCTCTCTGAAAGTGAATGGAAATATGAACTGGATGTCCTGGTTGGCTTTGTCTTCAGCCCAGTCCAGGGTGTATTTCTGTGTTAAGACTGTTTTCCCAATGCCAGACACTCCCTTTGTCAGCACTGTTCTGATTGGTTTATTTCTTTCAGATGAGGCTTTAAAGATGTCTTCTTGTCTGATGGTTGTTTCTGGTCTGTCTGGTTTCCTGGATGCTGTTTCCATCTGTCTGACCTCATGTTCATTATTGACCTCTGCAGTCCCTCCCTCTGTGATGTAGAGCTCTGTGTAGATCTGATTCAGAAGGGTTGGGTTTCCTGCTTTAGCGATCCCCTCAAACACACACTGGAACTGCTCTACCAGGTTAGACTTGAATTTAAGCTGACAGTTTTGAAGAGCCTCTGAATTTGAAACAGAAGATGATATGATTGGCCAATTGCGGTTTATGTAGTGTGAATAACTTCATTTATTTGCCTCTTGGTAACTTTTGTTTAGATCTCATCAGATATTTAGGATTTTTTGAACTATGGTCCAAAACTTCTATTTTTAATCATTTTAATTTATTTAACATTAAATTGCAAGAACAGACACCCCAATGTGCTTTATATTGTGAAGTAAAGACTACAATAATATAGAGAAAACTCCAAAATTCAAAGGACCCCAGTGATTTGATGAAAGTGGTCTGATCATTTAGTAATTAATCCTTTGTAGTATATCATTTATTTTTTTAAGAATTTCGGGGTGTGCTAGCTAAGCTTGACCTTCAGATAAGCATACCCATGTTTCAGCTGTCTCAGCCTGACACTCTCTGACTCAAGGTGTGAAGTTGTTAGTCACTTCTTGTTCTCATTCAGTGAATATACAGGTAGAAATGTCATAGAATTTGAGATTGTGTTCTACACTGCTGAAGAACAATCATATAGAGTAGGCTCAGATGGTATCCATATCCCCCCTTCACTTTTTTCACTTTTCTTATGTTGCAGCCTGATGCTATAGTCATTGAAATGACTTAGTCCCCTCGTTAAAGAACAGAAATTTTTGTAATTGCAGTCTCAAATCTTTTTGAGAATGATGGAGATTTTCTACTATTCTTCTTTGCAAATCCTCTCAGACTCTCAGTGAGTTACTCTAGAACATTTGCAGAGTTGTCCCAAAGCCACAGCTGTGATGTCTTTATGTAATTATATTTATGTCATAAAAAAAACAAAATTAGATATGTACACAAAGTAGAACTCATGCACTTTTGAGTGTCTGCTTTACATGCACTGTTACAGTTTTACACACTCGCAGGCAGCTCTCTGCACTGGGAGAAAAATTCCTGCTCATGGAAAAGACTTGGTTTTGACTGTGTGGATGTGGAGCCCAAAGAAGGTCAGGGTTCTAATGTGATTGGTTTTGCTGTGCAGCTTTGGAAATACTGACAAGTGGCACTGGATGATTTAATGTTAAAGAAATATTTTAAACCAGAAGATTCAGAGGCAAGTTCTGAAGCCTGTGCACGGCTGGCTGGCCCATTAATCTATTGTACAGTATTACATACTGTAACTTCTATGAGTAAAGCAAAATCATCATAATGAGAAGCACACATCACTCCAAAGAAAATTGTTTCTTAGTTAACTGAGTAAACTTGCCATTTTTGGGAGCATTTCAAGTTGATATACATCAATACAACCATTATAGCCCAAATTGTAATATGTCTGCATTAAGTGCATAGTAATTACATAAATTGCAAAAAAGTGCAATAAACTACAAAAATTTTTTTAAATTGTTTTTGTTTTTTTAACATATATTTCTAGAGAAATTTAAGAGGCTTATCCCTCAAAACTGTAAATACAAAAAAGTTGCACAAAATAGTTTCACACCACAGGAACAAACAACTAAATTCTTACCTTCTGATAAACGCGATGAAACTTCCTGGGCTGACGGACTTCCTGTTGGAGGAAAGTGTCTCTTGAATTATGAACTGGTCTCTTTAAAAATGAAAACCTGCTTCACTTCAAAATAATGTAAATATAACATTTGTACTAAAAGAACCTGATTAGAGAGGCGCAAAATTAAAAAGTCAGACTAAAACTGTTTAATACCTTCATAATAGAGCTAGACGATATGGCCTGAAATCCATATAATTGGAATCACGTGCGGTAACAATATATATTGCAATATATTCTTTTCTTCTTTATAGCGTATTTTCCACACTATAAGGCACACTAAAAATCCATTAATTTTCTCAAAAATCGAGAGTGTGCCTTATGAATGAATTCTGGTTGTGCTTACTGACCTCGAACCGATTTGGGCGTGCAGAAATCTGTTAAAAAATGTTTTAGTAGAACTTTGGTGAGCCGCACTGCTTCCTGCCGTAGTGAGGAGCTTTGCGGAGTAATCTGGTTGCAAAACTCCGTCCGCTTCAGGTCCCAAAGTCAAACGAACACTGAGAGTTACAGACGGTGTAAATTCTTTGATTTTTAATAAAATCATCAGCGTTGCTGCTTTAGCAGGTGTAACAATTAAGTTTTACATCCAGGCATCCATGGAAACAGAATTTATTAAATTTAACGGAGTTACAAGTTAACAGTAACTAACAGAGGTGGGACCAAGTCATTGTTTTGCAAGTCTCAAGTAAGTCTCAAGTCTTTATCCTCAAGTCTCAAGTCAAGTCTCAAGTAATGTCAGGCAAGTCAGAGTCGAGTCTCAAGTCACTGGTGTAAAAGTCCGAGTCAAGTCACAAGTCTGAAACTTTGAATTTCAAGTCCTTTCGAGTCATTCAAAAAAACGAAAAAATAATGTTGCAGTTATGCTAAATGTAAATATTAGACCATGTAATTTTAAAATCTGTGTTTTTCTCAACACATGACAAAATAGTGAACTTAGAAAATATACACAAATTGTGAAATTGCACCTCTTTAAAATGCAGCTCAATTAAACCTAGCTCCAAGAATAATTTTCACCGACAGTTCTGAGATAAGCTGCATGTTATTCTTGGATGCGGTTGTAGGACCAGCTTTAAAATCGCATGACAAAAATATCATACATATTAAAAAAAACTGTATCACCAACGTAGCCTGGACAACATTTGCTAGTTAGATGAAGTCAGCTATCTCATCGTAGCATATTTATATGCATATTTATAATTATACGGTTCTTGGAGTGAGCGCATACACTCATGAAGTTTAGTAACTTCAGGTCACTGCAACAAGCCCAGGTACAGTTTACCGACGGATGGGTGCAGGACCTTGAAACGCACCGTGTAGAACGAAAGACCATCGTACGTATCATAAGTTTACCAGTTTCACAAATCGTCGTCATAAATACACATTCCTTAACCGTTTATTAATAGGACCTTTGAGCTCAACGATAATTAATTAGTAGTGGAAATAATTTCTGGTAGCATTACAGAAATGTAGCAGTGACAATAATACTGTATGCTGTAATCGTACTGGACAATTGGTGATACAAAAAAACCTGTTTTATCCTGTGAATAAAAGTATATGTTTTTGTCAATGTACCATAATAACAGAAGCGAAACGCAATATTGTGCCAGGACAATTCACTATTTATGCACAATAAATAAAGGAGCATAGCGCGACAATTTCTGTTCAGCACCAGACTTGCTTGTAACCTATATCACCAATTATGTTATGAAAATGACGTATTAACTACTAAAAAACACTGACCTTCGTGTAAATGCTTGGAGCAGACTAACCTGTGAGCTGGAGAGTTCTGGGACGTTATATTTGGTCTTTGAATGGCTGCAATCCAGGCCATCCGTCGCGTCTTTGTTACTTCGGAAACATGGCTCGAACAATTTCTCTTCAACGACGTAATCCGATAACAACCGATCTCTTTACCCGTCGGCTTCCCGTGGCTGTCATGTGACCGGCTATTGCAGTTAATAATACAACAGCTTCTTGACATTTTTGTGTTTCTTTTTATCGCTGTGTGACTGATTTCAATTGAAAGGCTGTGTGCGCTAGTACCGCTTGCCACGAGTTCCCAGAATCCTTTGCGGTTTTACCCCTGAATGACGTCACATTTTCAATCTCTATATAATATGCATGTTAAATTTTATATTTGGGGTAAAATATCAAGTCTTTTCAAGTAAACCGGTTCAAGTCCAATTCAAGTCCCAAGTCATTGGTGTAAAAGTCCAAGTCAAGTCACAAGTCTTAGAACATTTTTTCAAGTCAAGTCTAAAGTCATAAAATTAATGACTCGAGTCTGACTCGAGTCCAAGTCATGTGACTCGAGTCCACACCTCTGGTAACTAAACATGACATACCATGTTCTGACTCAGAGATTTTTGAAAGTAATTCAAACGTACAGCTCTGCTATCACTTCCAACATAAATGAAGACAGAAAACTAAACAGCAGTGGCGTTTGTAGGGTTACTGAAGTTTGGCTAGCTGGTATATAATGTTGTGCTACGTGATTGCTTGTGACACAGCTATGTTAGCATAACATTAGCACAGTGAAGCTGGAGGATGAACGCTAACTTTTTTTTCTCCACTCGATAAAAGTTAACGTGAGGGACTCTGGTGGTCAGGGACAAATGCAATCGCATAGCAGGATGCTATACACGGGCCAAACTTCAGTCAGGAGAACAACTGAGATCATTCATCCACAATACGAGGTTAGTTATTAATATACTGCAACAACATGGGAACAGAGCAGCTGCGAGAGAATTCAACATTATTGAATCAATGTTATGGAAGAAGCGCAGTTTTTGGCTTTCCACATATTTCAAAAGTGTTTCATCTCTTTGCTATAACTGTCGCCCGCCATAATTTGCAGATGATAATGGTTGTAGCCGCTGCGATGCTTTCAACCAAAACAGACGCAGCTTGATGACATCATCAACATGCGCTATATAGTCAAAATCTCTATCGTTGGCCAAATTTATATCGCTTCTATCGTATATCGTTTATATTGCACACCCCTACTTCATAAAATAAATTGTGACGATGTCATGTCTGCATACCGTGTTTGCATATCTGTGTCTGCATACCGTGGGTGTTTGTTTCTCTTTCCTCTGACTGACCTGCATTCATCTTCTTTAAAATCGACCTCGCCACCTCGATCACGTGGTCTGAATACGCCTGCACCATCACTTCTACTGTTTTCAGTCTGTCTGCGTTCTCCAGCAGGCTCTTATAGATTTTGGTGAAGTCACCTCCAGGTTCATACTGCAGGTAAAAGTGGAAAAGCTTCAGCTCCTCCTCTCCCAGTTTCTTCAACATTTCAAGCAGCTGCACTGGTGAGGGCTTCTCCATCTCTGACTGTAAAACATGAGAATATGTGAATCACGGTTTCATCTCATCTATTTTTTTTTAACTTATTTACTATAGTTCACAGCAGATTACATGTTTAATCTGAATTATGGGAGACACCTGCCTAGTCACTGTTTCAGGGCTCCTCCTCAGTGGAGCTGCTGTCGTGTTTCCAGTTTCATTTATTGTGAACTGTGTTGCTGTTTTGCTCCTGTTGTTCTGCCTCACCTTGTTGGGGCTTTGGATTTGTTTTGGTTTTATTTAGCCAATTCTGAACTATTGTCTGCACTCCTGTTTCTGTGGCTGGCTAGAGTGATCTTCCGCCGCATATCATCAAATATTGCCTCCGCTTGCTTCTCCCAGAGTGCGGGGAGCTGCACCGGACTATGATCGAGGCTTGAACAATTATAGCCAGTAAAAGCTTGGTTGGACTCGTGGGGTGCAAGTTTCGTATGCATGTGCATGTGCGCGGTTTGTTTTATTATAGATTAAAGTTTTTTTATTTCTTTTTTTTATGATCTGTAGCGAGCTTGTGGCTCGGTGTCATTTTATTCTTTTAGCCTGTTGTCCCATGCTTTTATATTTTTTTGTGAACGGAAGACGCTCCAGTTGCCCTGGGACCATAGGTGGTTGGTCGTCTTCACACTTTCCTTTGTACAGCACTGGGTGCAGGCCATAGCATTTGTTCCCTTTCCGTGTGATTTTCTTTTGGATCCACAGCTGCTGCTAAGTCCTAGTTCAGTGATTGTTTTATTGTAATTTAGGACACTGTCAACAACAACGCTGCATTCAGTTTTCTTATTGTTTTATTCATTATTTTATTCAGATTACATTAGATTAGATAAAAATGTATTAATCCCTCTGTGTTATAAAACTGTGTTATTATTTGAGCTAACCTGCCTCAGGGTGCATCCTTGAACTTTTTATTTGCTTTTATCCCCCTTTTTAAAAAAATAAATATATTTCCTGGGTCTGAAATCCCCCTTGGTGGCATTGTCCTTTTATTATTTTTTAATCTAACCTCTCTGACCACTTAGTCACACATATTTGATTTAGTGGAAGTTCAGAATCAGAATCAGAAAGGGTTTTATTGCCAAATGTTGAGCAGGTTTACAACATTAGGAAATTGCTGCGGTGCTTCAGTGCAAACATACTGTCATAAATTGCGCTTAAATAGACATGAAAAAATAAAAGTAAGAATAAGAATTAAAAGTGCTACGTGGAAAGATATATGCATGAGTGCAGGTGGTGATCAGTGCCAAACATGGAATGATGCAGTGAACACAGTGTAGGGTCATGTGTTAGTGGTGGGAACAGTCGTACGTTTATTGTTCATGTGTCCAACAGCAGAGGGTTACAGCACCAACTGTCAGAGAATCCAGTAATCCAGTTTTGAGATCTCCAAATGTTGATTCTGTTCATCTGGACGTAGCGTAAAAACGCCTTGACGTGGGAAAACACAGACGTGGGAAAAACGTTTTGTCACTCATCCAAGTGACTTCTTCAGTCTCCAAAATCAATGAATCAATCAATCTTTATTTATAAAGCACTTTTCATACAAAAATGTAGCACAAAGTGCTTTATCCAACTCACTCCCCACACTCTCATTAACATAAATGATCATGGATGCATACACACACATCCCCCCCCACACACACACTCTTAAAGAGTAAAATTGGGCTGGGTACACATGATCACAGGGAGCTGTCTGCACCGGGAGCTGGTCACAGACCGCAGCCTCCAGGCCGGGCACACAGCAGGAGGAAGCCCCCCAGCCAGGCTGAGACTGAGGAAGTCACTTGGATGAGTGATGAAACGTTTCTCCCACAAAATGCAGATGAACAGAATCAACATTTGGAGATTTACTTTCCTGAATGATTGAGAATGCATCAAGACAGTTTTGAGATCCCTTCCCAGACGCCTTAATGCCCACTTAAATCCTGGGCCATCTGACCTCAGGAAATCACATGATAGAGTGGGGCTAGTTTTCACAATGAGCTCACCCAGAACCTTGGCTGATTGTGAAATACACCCATTTTCACACCTCGGGTTGTGTGATTAGGTAGAGTTTCATTAGGAGGTCCATTCTCACTTTTGGGGGGGACACCCCCACAAGGCAAAATGTAGGACTCCACCATTTTACCCTAGAACTGAAGAAGCTTCTCGGATGAGAGGTGAAACATCTTCAAGCAACTTAAAATGTCCAGATGCCTTTTTTCCTTCCAAGCTCCTTAGACATCCAAAAGTTGATTCTGTTCATCTGGACGTAGCGTTTTCAGTGGGACAAATGTTTCGTCACTCATCACTTCTTCAGTCTCAGGTCATTTCCTTGATCATTAATATGCAAGTTCTCATGACCACTGATCAATGGCCATGAGTACCATTCACAAAGAGTTGGGGAATGGCTGCAATCACAGCATTGTAAGATGGGGACAGATGTACACTTAGGCCCCCTCCTCGATTCAGAGATGGCCTTTCCTTTTTCCATTTTGACTCCACGCTCTAACCAGCGTTCCTCCCTGTCCAGGATGTTACATCCTCATCATTGAAAGACTGTCCACTGGCGTGTAGGTGTGAATAGACTGCAGAGTCCTGGCCTAAGGTAGCGTTTCTGTGTTGTGCCAACCACTTCTCCAGAGGTTTGGTTTCTCTGATGTATAAATCCTGACAATCCTCCTGGCACTTACCAGCATACACTATGTTACTCTGTTTTCTTTACTTCCCGATCCAGGATTCAAAGAGTATCAGCAGAGTTAATGTGTTGGAGAATTGGACATTCCAGTTTATTCAAACACAGCTGCAGTCAGAGAAAAAGATGTAGAGACAGAGGAACATCACGTGACTCAAGAAGAGTTATTTAAACTGTATAGACACAGGAGACAGCAGCATCGCTTGATGCCTTCAGTGACCATGTTCCTGTTAAACACAGTTACATTTTTAACAGGTTTTGGGGGTTTTAAGGTTTTTGTTTTTTTTGTTTTTTTTACTGAAAATCATTTCAAGAACTTCTTAGTCACCGTTATGTTTTATTGAGTATGGTCATTACTGTTTTCTGCTCGGTGACAGAGGAAGTAGACTCTTTAACTTCCTGTGGTCAAAGTCATTAACTCTTTAGTGTTTCTCCCAAAATCAGGACTCACAGAGAAAAAAATCAAGAAAAAAAACAGGAAGTGTGTTTGCTAAGCTGTTGCTATGTGTGCTGACGTCATACAGGCTAGGTTGTGGGGGAAGTATAAAACAGAGAAACCTCAGGCTGTTCTCTTCTTCCTGTTCTGGTCAACGGTCATCTTCCTGCCCATTTTTTATGTGCTAAAAATAAATATATTTTGATTTGATGTAAAGCCCAATTCTACTTTTTCTGCATAATCCATCACACAAAATGTAATCAAATGGAAAAGTCTCTTTTTAAAACTTGTTTTATTAGTTTTAATCTTCTAACTTTATGCATCAACCAAAAATTTAATTATATGCAACATTCTCTGACTAGAAGAAATTAGTTTAACATTTAAACCTGTTTTCTGCACATTCCAGCACATAAAATAAAATATTTTTTCTGTTTACACTCAGTCTTTCAAATAGATGCAAGTAAAACACAGCAGAAAATACATAAAATCAAAGACTAGCGGTCCTGTTGCTCTATTTTCACCTGTAAAGCAGGAGTGGGGTAGGCGGAGGTTAACTCGGTACTTGTTTGGAAGCTTAGGGGTTTTTTCGCTGTAAAAAGAAGTTTTCTTCCCACGCACAACGGACGCTAATGTTTTTGTCACTTTTTATGGAATCAAACTCAAAGTAAGGTCAGTACTTCCACGCTTTAAACGCTGCACGCTCATACTCTCTCCCGCACTCGATATATGATCCATTGTTGATCTGCACACAGCTGTTGTCACGAACGGCGCACTCGCTTACGTCACTGTCATGAGACATTCTTGCAAAAAAAATCACAGTTTTAGTAACGCAGTAACGCAGCGTTACTACGGGAAAGTAACAGTAATCTAATTACCGTTTTTGCAATATTAATCCCTTACTTTACTCGTTACTTGAAAAAAGTAATCAGATTACAGTAACACATTACTTGTAACGTGTTACTATAATCCGATTAATCAGATTTCACCATCTCTGGTGTCAACCCATCCTCAACAACTCCAAATGTTTCCAGCTGCACATTCATCACATCAGGAAAACAATGGTAGCAAAACTGACCAAAGGCTCATGTTTGTCTGTGAGCAGCATCAATAAAACCCCTTTGGCCTCTCCGCTTTTCTACAATTCCCCCATGGGAGAGGTTGGTATCATTTCTTTTCCAACACTGTACAACACCCCGATGTTACTGGTTGTCTTTTCAGTACAATTATTATGCCAGATTTTGCTAGATGCTGTAAATGTGTAGTACACATGTGCTGCATATGTGTTATAGGCACTCTCATTGCTAGCATGAATAAATAATTCTTGCTAGTTTAGAAGTTGTGATGGGTTGAGCTAACGCTCTTCCCTATTGTTTGCATTTGGTTGTAGGAGCTGGAGCAAGCAAGTTAATGACTTGGAGTCTTTCCTTTCTTTTTACCTTTCTTTGGTAGGAATGTCGAATTTTGTGTTGTTTTTCTCTTATCTTGTCTCAAATATGTTCCATGTAAGTTTGTACTTGATGTTTAATGTAAAAATAAACGTGCACCCCTTTTCTACAAATTCCCCTGTGGGAGAGGAGCTGGAGCAGATGAGTTAATTACTTGTAGGTCTTTCTTTCTTTTTACCTTTCATTGTCAAACACAACGCAGGGATACACCGGTTACATTATCACACTCATTTGCACAAACAATAAAAGGGGGAAGAGCGTTTAACACTGGGCCTCGTTGGTCCAGGTGCGAGTCCGTTACCGTGAACTAAGTGCTGGAACTAAGCTGCACACAGCTGATGCCAGGAAAACATTACAGCTTGCTTCACTTACCTTCACGTGGCGCTTCACACAGAGTTATCAGCATCAGTTAGGAGAAACGGGAAGTTCAGGA